GCACGCATAATGTTTGAGCGCTGTTGATGTTTGATCAACGAATGCGCGCGCATTTGTTTGTCTTCTTCTTCGTTTTTTCTCGGAACGGATGGAGGGGGATCGTTGCCGGTGCGGCCTGGGTAGCGCGAGCTCAAATTTAGGGTGGGAGGTGGGGCTGGATCGTAAATTTGAATACGAAGCGGGGGGCGGTTCAATCTGGGCGGGGGCGGGGATGTAGGTCCTGATTCTTTTTCAGAAAAGGAAAACCAATGCTAGGCGGTCTATGTTGAACACTCTACGTGGTTCAATATATTTGGAATATTCTATGTTGTGCATTCACTTGTGGAACGCGCAGTTGTCAACTCCACTGCTCGCGCAATCTGGCGGTGTAACCTGCGTGGTGCGATATGGGCCGTGCTGTCTAGGCCGTGCAATTTATGTCGTGCGGTCTGGATTGTGCAAAATATGCGGCGCAATATGCGTGGTGCAAGCAAGTCAACGGCGCTCGCAGTGACTTGTCAATCCACTGCTCGAGCGACCCCCTCGCCCGCCCGCGACGTGTTTCGCAGCGCGCATGTGGCGGCGATTGTAATGAATGTTTGGAGATGGCTGGTGCGTCTCTGCCGCCGTGCTAGCCCGCGCGTTCTCGCGCGCGCGCCGGCCAGCTAGCGTGGCGCGACCGACGTGGCCGCGGTGGCGCTGACCGCCCGGCGCTTCCCAGCGGGCGCTTCAATGGGAATCGGCCACTCGGGCGCCGCGGTATCATGGCAACAACGTCGGCAACGGTAGACGCGGTGATGATCTTGGCGGCGAGCGGCCAATGATGGCGCCGACGCTGATCGCGCTGGCGAAGATGACGGCGTCCTCGCGTCGGCGATGAAGGTTTTGCGTAAAAAGAATTCGGCATGCGCGCGCGGCTGACGCGCGCGAGTGGCCCGCGCGGTGTTATTTGACGCAGATCGCGCCCCGCAGCGCGCGCGCAAATGCGTTCGAATGATGTGGACATGCGTCGCGAAAAGCCCATTTGGCGGAATATAATGAAACTAGTAAAAAACGGATGGTTTCCTTAAGAATTCGCAAACAGCGCGAAGGCCGTTTTGCTAAAAAACTGATGGTGCGAAACCATGTGATTGAAATGATGTTTTCGGAGCGCTCGATTATGAAATCCTGGCGATGCCGAAGGTTTTTGAAGGATTCCGACATGCGCGCGCGCCAGCGCGCGCCTGCACTTCGTGCCGAATTTTGCAAGGGGTTCCTGAACGCGAGTGCGCGCGCATTCTTGTTTGCAGAAGATGAGGGGAAACAAATCGCCAGCCCGCCTGGGATTCGATGAGTTCATAGCTCGGATGGGCGATGGGCCTGGCTCGCATCCAAAGTGCAATGCGCAAGTGGGAGCGTTTAAATCCAGGGGGGGGGGGGGGGGGGGGGTAGGGGGGGGGTAACTAATACTACTCTATGTGGTGCAACTTACACTTACGTTGTGCGACATCCGTGGTGCAATCTATGCGGTGCTATCGGTGTTGTTAAATCTACGTGTTGCGACCTATGTTGCGCAATCTACGCGGCCCAGCGTCTGTGGAGCAGTGCGGTGCAATTCGCCAGTGATCGCAATGAACTATCAACGCCGCTGCTCGCGCAATCATCCCGCCCACCCACCCGCAACTTGGTTTGCAGAACCCATGCGACGGCGATCGCGATGAGTGCTTGGCGTTGGCCCGTGCGTCTCTGTGGAGGCGCTAGCCCGCGCGTGCTCGCGCGCGCAGCGGCCGGCGAATTTGGCGCGACCGACGCGGCCGCGGTGGCGCTGACCGCAGGGCAAGTCCCAGCGATAATTTCAGTGCGAGCCGGTGACTTGAGCGGGCGCGGTCTCATGGCGACGCCCACGACGGTAGACGCGACGATGGGAGTAGCGATGGAAGCGATGGTGGCGAAGAAGACGGCAAGGCCAATGGCGGCGCCGACGTTGATCGCGCCCGCCGGTAACGATGGCGATGTCTCCGCGCCGGCGGTGCGGACTTGGCAGGGCTTCGACGGGCGTGCGCGGCCGACGCGCGCGACTGGCCTGCGTTGTATTATTTGACGCGGATCGTGCCCCCCCCCACCCCCCAGCACGCGCGCAAGGGCACTCGGGTGATTTTGGCATGCGGCGCGAGAGGCCCGCCTGGCAGACTTTGCTGCCCATGTGGAAGCACCGGCGTTGTTCTTAGGAATTCGCGCGAGCGCGCGGGCCTTTTTTTTTTGGGGGGGGGAACTGACGCTGCGAAGCCATGTGTTTGTTTCATTTGTTTTCGGGGCACTCTTTCTTTGAAACCCCTGCGACGCCTTAGGTTTTGGAAGGATGTCGGCACGCGCGCGCGACGACGCGCGCGCGTGCATCTCGGACCATTTTTGCACAGGGTTCTTGCGACAGCACGCGTGCAAAAGGGCGCCCGAACGATTGCGAAATGCGTGCGAGAGGCCCGTTTGGTAGCATATTTTGACAGCGTTGGAAATCCGATGGTTTTCTTGGGAACCAGCAGCAATGCAGAAGTTTGTCCTGAAAACCATTGTTGCGAAACTATATGCTATTTTGTATATATTTTCCGGACAAGCGAGGTTGGAATCCGAGCGTTTGGGAATGCCCCAAACATGGCATGCGCGCGACGGCGCGCGCGCGTCTGCTTTTCGCGAACTTTTTGCTGCAAGGGATGATTGACAACGGGTGAGTCTTGATGAGCGAATGCGCGCGCAGAGTGTTTTTGCAGAGGGTGTGTGTGTGTGTGTGTGTGGGGGGGGGGGGGGGGGGGGGGGGATGCGGGTCTAGCTGGGGTGATGCGCGTTCATTTTTAGGATGGAAATTGGCGCATGAACAAATATGAGTTGCACATCCCCGGGGGGGCCCGATACATCGGGGGTTGGGGAGGTCGATCCTAATGGTCCTTAAGTTAAGAGAAACGCTGCGGGGCAATCCACGTGGTGCAATCAAGTTTTAGGTCGGGCATGTTCCCTTACAGGCGGATCTTGGACGAAAAAATAAAACATAGCCAAACAACGTTCAAACATGGTCAACAAATACTCACAAAAGAATCCCCAAAGTATTTTCCCAAACTATTTTTGAATATTCCTCCTGCAGAGGGACAGGCACGACTTAAATCTATGTAGTGGGAGTATGCGAGGCCGCGGCGAAGCGGCGACGGGGCGGCGACGACGACAACATAGCCGCCAGACCGGCAGACAGGGCCAGTTACGTGGCGGCGACTGAGCGGCGACGGCAACGAAATGGCCGCCAGACCAACGGGCCAGAGGCTTGCGAAGATCCCCAATAACAGGTTAACACTATTTCTAGTTCGCGCGCGCGTGGCCGCCCCTGGGGACCCCCGGACCAAAGTACCCCGGGCGATGCCCGGCCGACCCCCCCAGTACGCTCCAGGAACTCGCCAAGAGGGCGCCGTGACGCCCCCTACACGGCCCAAGAGGCCCCGAGTCGCCGAAAGATCGCGCCAAGACGCTCAAGATGGTCTCCAGATGGCCCCAGAGGCCGCGAAGAAGCCCCAAGAGAGCCTCAAGATGTTCTCCAGGAGGGCCCCAACAAGCAACCATTTTCCAATTCCCTTCGGAAGACGTACATGTTTCGCATGTGCGACGCTTCTCTCCTTTTCGGCTATCCAACCCTCCAAGACGGTCCAACAGGTCCCAAAACTGCCCCGCGAAGCTTCCAAAAGGGTCCGGAGACGGCCCAAGATGGCTCCTAGACAACCCAAGCGCCCAAGATGGCCCTAGAGGGCCCCCAAACGGCCCCAAGAGGGGCCAAAGATTGGGACCAGGAGCCGAAAAATCCAGTTTTCAGCCTCACGAGGCCCCCAGGAGGCCCAAGGGGCCCCCAAAAGGCACCCAAAGAAGCCCCAAGAGACGCTAAGAGGCCCAAACTCAATCCCAAGAGGCCTCAGCAATGCCTCCCAGAGGCCCCAACACGGCCCCCAAGCGGCGAGGCAATATGGGCCGGCGGAATGAGCGAAACGAGTAGCAGAACCCCTAAGTGCAAGTACTGTTTGGGGATTAGAAACTGGCTGCACATGCTGTGCTGTGTGGGCGAGAAAACGTTCAGAATACTGTCTGGTGGGGTCTGGGTGAATGGATGCCCCAGCTTCCATGTTACACAGACATCCCCGCGAGGTGCCCCAGACCCCCAGACCTCTGCGGACAGACCGACGGCCCGAATGGCCAGAAACTCAAGACATGATGCGCTCGACCATCCCAGACCTCCGACGTCGTGCTGTGCTCTGTGCGTAGCTCGGAGGTCTCGCCCCTCCCCAAGGACCAGATTCTCATCCCGAGTCGTTTCTGGCGTCTTCCAGGCCCGGTCAAGACCCCTGGAGATCGAAAGCGTCCAAACACCTGTCGCGTTGATTCCACGACGCGAGGGAGCCGTATCATGATCCTTACAGTCGAGGTTGATTGGGAAGGACACGCGAGAGGACGCGAGAGGACACGCGAGAGGCCACATGGCCATACGAAAGGTGAAGGCATGAGTCGCGATACACAGGACACATTCCCGAAAATCCCAACCTCTCCCCCAGGACAAGCTTTTCATCCTGAGTCGCATATTGACGGTCCCGGGGACCGGAGAGGGCTTCCGAGGGGCGAAAATAGCGAAAACCAAACTCCCGTTCTGGGTCGACCCACCAGTCAGCCTCGACTGTACCACCTCAAGCAACGCCACCGCGCTGCGTGGCAGCCCGCGGCCGCGCTGCCCTTTTGGCGGTCTGGCGGACGCCTCCCCCCTCGTACTGCTTCGCCGCCTCCTCCTCGCCTGCCTCCCTGGCCTCCGCCCGCTATGCCTGCTGCTGCGTTTTACGTTGGCCGTACCTGAGCATCGAGGCTGTTGTTTTCCTCTGGTGATCCGGCTCAGCGTTGCTGCTGCGCCTCCTCCTCCTCCTGCCCTTCCTCCTCGTCCTGCTCCTCCTCCTCCTCCTCCTCCGCATCCTCCTCCTCCTGCTCCTCCTCCTCCTCCTTCTCGTCTGGCTCCTCCTCTCGGCTGCTGCCGTCGAGCGAGAAGATGGCGCGGCTGATCTGGGCGGAGTGGGCCGTGAGCACCGTGGCCGGAGCCTGTCGTGTGAGAGCGAGGGGGTGGGATGGCGGAGAGTGAGGGAAGGGGAAACTGGCAGCGGGAAATTGGCAGCGAGGGGGGGGGATGGCGGAGAGTGAGGGCGAGGGAACAAAGAGGATGGGTACGAACCGAAGGAAGGGGGGTTGAGCGGAAAGAAGCGACCGACAGCTCACACTTACCGCTCGAGCAGACGCATCTCGCTGTATCCTTCGGCACTCGAGTGCGGGGAAGGAGCGATTGCGAAGCTCTCTCGTGTCTCTGGTTTTCCTCTCTCACTCAAAAATCTCATCATCATCTTCTTCCTCTCCTCTCACTCATCCTACTGTTCTTCACGTCATCGGCACCATAGAATGGGAATGTGCACGGGGATCAAATCTGTTGAGGCAGATGCATGGTTCGCCCGCGGGCGGGGGGGGGTACGGCCGAGCGGAGCGAGGGCGGGGAGCGAGAACGAGAACGATAACTGTGAGAACTGTGACCACAATTGTGGTCGAGCACGGGAAGCTCCTCCTGCTCCGGCAAAATCATACCATACGAACCGCTGTCTGTGAGCTCTTGGTCCTCGGACGCAGTGATGCGAAGCGAACTGCGCTCGCGAACCATCGGAGAACTGGTCATAATACAAACTACACACGTTCCATCTGCGTGCGGTGGATACCTCCTCCCTCTCTCCATCTCCTCTCTTAGTGTAAGTGTTAGTTCGATGGTCGATTGCACCACTTAATCAGCAATGCAATATTGCAAGACAACTGCTACTAGCATACCTTGATTGAGTGGGCATCAAACGGTCAGGAGCAGCCAGCATCAAATCGGGCCATCGGATCGGATCGGAACGTGTATCGAAGCGGACCGCATCGGCTCGGAGTCTGAATCGAATCGAATCGACTCGGCGGCGCCATGATGCATACCAGCACAATGCAAGCATCGGGCCGCATCGGACCGCCCGAACATCGGAATCGAATCGCATCGGGCCGGCCAAGGCCGATACCGATTCGGATCGATCAAACCGACATAAACCCTGAACGGTCCTGCAATGAACTGGCCACGTCTTGCCGACCCGCCTCCCCCTCCCCCATCGTCCCACTCCACGCGGCGACAAACAACGCCGTGGAATCAATGCCTGAAAACGATCCGTACAGATCAGGAATGTACGCGCGCACGCCGATTGGGTTAGGGGAGGAATCGGGGAAGGAGGTAGTCTAGCGAACCACAGCATGCACATCAGATTTTTCGAAGGGGCCCAGGGACATACAAACAAATGGACACACCTCCCATGATTCCCAATATTCAATATCTTCTGGATGTTCGTCGTCTTTTTCACTTCCCATAGTTTAGAATCGACGTTTTTTGGTGTGCAGTCAACCCGCATAATGATCCACGATAAGGGTGCAAGGGCAAGGGCCTTGGAAGGCAATGTCGACACTTTGCGAGCGGAGCGCGGCAAGCGAAAGCGGCCAAGGATGGGCCGAAAGGGAAGGATGCAAGGGTATCATTGGACAATTGCTCATCCTTACTATACGGGTTGACCGTATGTGCGGTTGTTCTTCTCTGACTGTTGGACGCCCGTGCCGATCTCCTGGGTCGGCGCCGCACACCTCTCCCCACGACGCCTTACCTAGCGTGCGAGCCGCAGGAGCCGCCCAGGGGCGTGGGGGGGATGGGGGGTCCCAGTGCCGACCCGAGACGCCGTGCGGACCTCCATCAATTCATGTTTACGCTGCTTGCTTCTTCGAGCGGCGTGGGCAGATGCAGATGAACCTGAAGCTGAAGATGCAGATGATGCTGCTGGTGATGGTGATGGTGATGGTGATGGTGATGGTGATGGTGGCGATGATGATGATGATGATGATGATGATGATGATGATGAGGATGATGATGATGCTGGGGATGATGGTGATGCTGCTCATGCTGCTGATAATGCTGACCATGTTGGTGCTGTGGATACTGATGATACAGGTTATGCTGATGCTGATTATGATGCTGCTGATGATGCCGATTACTGTGATTATGAAGATGAGTCTGATGATGAGTCTGATGATGAGTCTGATGATGCTGATGGTGATGATGATTCTTCGAGAAGGATGGCCAAGGATACGATAATGATGTTGATGATGATGCCGCTGCCGATGCGGATGATGCCCATGATGATCAATACTGAGATACTGATGATGACGATGCTCATCATGCTGATGATGACGATTACGATGCCTATGCTGACGACGATGACGATGATGTTAGTGATGCTGCTTATGATGATGATGCTGATGATGATTCCGATACTGATGACGATGTTGATGATGATGCTGATGCTGATGACGGTGATGAGGAAAATACTGCTGGGTAGGATGACGATGCCGATGCTAATGACGATGACGACGATGATGCTGATGCTGCTGATTATGCTGATAGAAAGCGATGATGATGATACTGGTGATGATCATGATGCTGATGCTGATGCTGATGGTGGTGCTGCTGCTGATGCTGATGATGATCATGCTGGTGCTGATGATGAGCATGGTGATGCTGATGACGGTGATGGTGATGCTGATGATGACGATGATGATGACGGTGATGATGAGCATGGTGATGTGCTGATGATGTTGATGAAGCTGATGATGCTGATGATGCTGATGATGATGAAGCTGATGCTGATGATGATGATGATGATGCTGATGATGATGATGATGATGATGATGATGATGATGATGATGATGATGAGAAGTGGAGGAGACGGGACGCAGACCTCCGACGCCGATATTCTTGCTGAGTCGGGGTCCCTGGAGGACTCGGCACACTGCCAGGGGCCAGCTTGCCGTCCTGGACTGCTGCTTCATGGCCCCGATGCCGAGACACTGCCCCCAGAGGACGAATACGGTGAGACCCATGGGACAAGGAAGCCAGTGTCTGGAAGACGGTGAACTGCAATCGTGGATTGGCCATGGACAACACCGCCGCCCTCATCGGACAAGGAACCCTCTGGGGCCTGGCGCCTCTTGGGCACACTCCCTGACCAACGCCCCCCCGCGCAACGCCCGACACCATCGAGCCTTTCCCGTGTTCCGCGTGCTCGAGGCCTGGGGCTGGAGAATCGGCGGCGCGCGCGATGGGGGGGAAGGCAGCCGGGGCGGGCCTCCTCAGAGGCCCGAGGCACCTTGCCCGAGCCCTCTCCGAGACAGACCGCAGGGAGGGCTCCTCGAGAGGCCCTCTGGCCCTCTGGAGAGCCCCGCCCGCTCTTCCGAGAAGGCCTGGCCCCCTGTCCGAGGGCTGGCGCCGGCCCGTCCCCGTTCCAGCCAAGACCCCCACTCCCGGCCCGGTGAGCGTGTTTTGTCAACTCGGCATGTCGACACTGGGCGGAAAGGGGGGGGGTCTGGCTCCAGGCCCCTGCTTAGTGCGACTGTTTGCAAGAGTGCTGCCTCTGGGGGAGACTCCACCTGCTCGAAACAGTCGCCAAAAACAGCCAAGATCTACACCACTGGGGGGGAGGGGGGGTGCGAGGGCCCGCGCCGATCGGCAAAACAATGAATAACACGACCACCTGGTGATCCAGGGGGGTCCTGTCTGGGGGGGGGTGTTTTTGGAAGCCGAGCAGCTACCCTCACCCCCAGCCAGAGCCCCCTGGACACACGGTCGGGGGTGGGGATCCTGACTGGGGGTGGGGGTGGGATGTGCTGCCCTCGCGCTCGCTTGCCCACTGGGCGTGCCGCCGAGAGAAGTGGGCCCAAACATCCAGCGCTCCAAGTCTGTCGATGCGTGGACCCCCGGAAATCTGGAACGCTTCCCCAGCGCCGGCCTCTCATCCCGAATCCTTCTTGGAGGGTCCAAGGGCCCGTGGGGAGCCTTTGGAGGCCGAAAACGGCCCAGAACAGGCCGTTCCAATTTTTCTGGAGCCTCGGATCTCTGGGAGCAATGCACGGTTCCCCCCAGGGCCGTAGGCGACCCGAGGAGGAGGAGGAGGAGGAGGAGGAAAAAGAGGAGGAGGAGGAGGAAAAAGAAGAGGAAAAAGAGAAGGAGGAGGAGGAGGAGGAGGAGGAGGAGGAGGAGGAAAAAAAGGAGGAGGAGGAGGAGGAGGAGGAGGAGGAGGAAGAGGAGGAAAAAGAGGAGGAGGAAAAATATGAGGAGGAGGAAAAAGAGGAGGAGGAAAAAAAAGGAGGAGGAGGAGGAGGAACAACAAATGAGGAGGAGGAGGAGGAGGAGGAGGAGGAACAAGAGGAGGAACAAGAGGAGGAAAAAGAGGAGGAGGAGGAGGAGGAAAAAGAGGAGGAACAAGAGGAGGAGGAGGAGGAGGAAGAGGAGGAGGAGGAGGAAGAGGAGGAAAAAGAGGAGGAGGAGGAGGAAAAAGAGGAGGAGGAGGAAAAAGAGGAGGAGGAGGAGGACAAAAAAGAGGAGGAGGACAAAGAGGAGGAAAAAGAGGAGGAGGAAAAAGAGGAGGAGGAGGAAAAAGAGGAGGGGTCGCCTAAGCCCTTCGGAGAAACCCTCCAGGGAGCAGGTAGAGGGGCTCAGATGGGAAAACTAAAATGTACCGATACCGCTACACCCCAGGCCTCTCCCGGGGTGCGTTCTGATCCGAATGCCGAGGCAAATCCAGCGGTGGCGACGAGGGCACCCAAGGAGGCCCAAACAGGGGGAAACGGGCGAGGGGTAGCGGTATGGGTACCTCTGCCTCCTCTGATCGAATCTCCGGGGAGCAGATGGGAGGGGCTCGCGGGGGAGAGCCTCGGTGGCAAGGCTCCATAACCAAACGCGGTGCTCCGCGTCCACCACGGCGAGCAGGCCCCCGTCGCCGGAGAACGCGGCGGAGAGCACCTGGCCTGCAGCTAGCAGGCAGGGAGGGAGAGGAGGGCCCCTCCGCCCTCTCCCTTCGTCCTGCTATTTCTCCTCCTCCTTCTCCTCCTCCTCGCTCTTCTCCTCCTTCTTCTTCTTCTTCTTCGTCTTCTTCTTCATCGTTCTTCCTTCCTCCTCCTCTCTCCTCCATCCTCCCCCTTCTACTCCTTTTCTCTTCCTCGTCCTTCTTCTCTCCTCCCCTTGTCCCCCTTCCTCCCCTCACCCTGCCTTTCCTCCCCTCTCTGCTCATCCTTCTCCTGCTCCCTGGAGAGGGGCGGGGGTACGGCAAGTTCGTGTCGTGACGACCTGTGCGTCAGATTCTGGGACCGAGTGGGTCGATCCACCCTGAACGATCGCGGCTTTCGGGCAGTGCGGATCGCCTGATGCCAGCCGACTCGGGGCCGCTAGTGGCGTTTAAGCTCGAATGCCTGCGCGCTGGGACGCCGATGCGTCGACGCGGCGAGAACCCACCGGAACGGCGGGTATAGAGGAGAGAGATGTACGAAAGGCCGGGGGGGGTAGTTTGGAGACAGCAGCGCAAGGCGGGCGAATCTGCAACTCCTCCCTCATCCTCCATCTCTTCCTCCGTCTCCCTCCGCGCGTCGCGAGCGCGCCTGCAAGCTTGCCTGTTCGCCCGCTTGCAGACAAAACAGATTCAAGATGCGTAGGGTACCTGCTTGTGTCTCTTAAACCCGAACACTTTCGTCTACTTTCGGGTGCATGGGCGGTGGTATGCTTGAGTAGGTGAAGGCTCGAGTCAAGGCGACATTCATGACGCGGATGCCCAGTAACAACATATTCAGGCCATCCAAATAGGCGAATCCGTCGAGCGCCTGCTCACGTGAATCCTGCGCCCAAGCATCATGAACGGGCCGAAAAAACATGATCTGCGCGCAGGCCATTTCATACATGGACAGCCGACGGTGCTGCTGAGAGGGCATCGTCCCCTGCGTGCTGCCCAACACGTCTTTGTGAGCCTGCCGGGCCGACCTGCGCCGAGGCGAATGCCAAGCTCGCTGGGTCGAAAATGTTGGCCGTGTGGCACAGGCCCAGGCGCTGAACCGTCCTCATGTACCTCTTTCAAAGATGGTTGTGGGGTGTCGGTAGCACGAGTTAAGACGAGGGCCGCGAGCAAACTCGGGAGCCACCGCTGCAGGGCTTCTCAAAATGGGGCAACAACCCTCTACTACAACGTTGTATCCCTGAACTACTTCCCAGTTGCAGAAAACGGGATGGGTTCTGAAAGGGTCCCTGGTGGGCCCGTGGGGACCCTCCACCTCCCCCCGCCCCCCTGCCCCACTCTGAGGTGTGTGTGTGTATGTGTATGGGGAAACCTCCCCTAACCCTTCTGGGTCTTTAGGCCCCCCAGTCTTGGAAGCTAATAACCGTTTCGACGCCCTGATTGATGGGGTCCCACCAATAGTGGGAAATAACTGTTTCTCCGCGGCACCCGCCGCACAATCACGACGACGACGACGACGACTACGATTACGACTACGACCACGATACGACAACAGCTACGGCTACGGTTACGAGAAGTTAGCGACCACGACTACGACCACGACTACGAAAACTCGCGAATCAAACCGATGTACATTCATATTGCAATCCTCACGAGAAGCTGCCCACACGTGATGATGCCCTGGGAGAACGAAGCCCCCCGAATTATCTAGCCCGCTCAATAATAGAGGGAACATGCTCTCCACCGCGACGAGGACGCCGAAGACGACGACGATGAGGAGGGGCGAGTTCATTCTTCGCCGAGAGAAAGAGGGGGGGGGGGAGTTAACCCTGAGGAAGACCCAGAGGGCGGATTTTGCTGGAAAAAAACCAGACCTCCCCCGATCCCCCAGTACAAACACCCCCTGAGGGTTCTGGGGGACCCCCCCCCCTCCCAACCCCACCCAAACCCGTACCCTCCCCCCCTCCACCGAGGGAGGGTTCTGGGGGACCCTCCCCGCCCTAACCTGCCCGACCCTCCTCCCCTGATGAAAATGATGAGGTGTTCTGGGGGAACTTCGCTAATCCCACGGCTATCCCTTCCTGAGGGATGGATGCAAACCAGTGTAGCCCCCATCCCCCCCCGGGAGGCCCATCCCCCCCGGGAGGCGGGGGGGTTAAGAAAGGGGGTTTTCCAAGGAAGGATCTGGGAACTGCCACACCCAGTGGGTCCCGCAATGTGTGGGGGGGGGGGGGGCACTCTTCCGATCAAGAGCGCGAGTTCCTTGACATGGCCCAATCGGACCGGAGTTGCATTGCTTCTGTCGTGCCGTGTGCTCGTAAGCAAGCTCTCCGATTGTTAGATGCAAAACGCTATTACACCAACGTCTGACTATGTATGCGCCAATCTCCTCGACTTTGACCAAGGAGGCCTGTGGACGACGTGCCTTGGGCTGGACCTGGCAATGGCTGCCTACGACACTTGACACTATTCTGCATGCGAGTTCAATCCCGACGGCGAAACCTTCTGCAAACGCACGCATGCAGTCATACCTCGGATGACCTCCCTCCTTCCCCTCCCTCCTCCTTCTTTTCCCTTTCCCCTCGTCTCCCTCCTCTGGTTTCTTTCATACTGCCTCTCATCTCCCTTTCCCGCCTCCTTGCCCGCATCATCAGACCCTTCTTCGTCAAAGTATCTGCCTGGGCGTCGTGGGTCAACTCTCTGGAGCACTCCTCCTCGGCGTCGCGGAAGATGCGCACGACGTGATCGCAACAGACTGCGGCCAC